AGACAGAGATGGTGAGAGAGAAAGTGAGAAATCACCCCCCGAGGGGATGGCCACGCCACAATCCCTTCTCCTCCACTCTCCTTCCGGGATCTTGGGCACACATGCACCCAGCGTGAGTTTCAAGTCACTAGGTCCAGGACTCGGGCAGCGGTCGGCCCTGTGGGAGTCCTGCAACATAACCACTACACCACCTGCTGGTCCCAAGGGTTCTGGTCTTTTCTGCTGAAAACCCAAGTCATTAGCCTGTGCTAATGGAGATTATAATCAAGGCGCACCCACTGTCAAGTCTGAGGTTAGAGGGCAGGACGGCATTTAGGCTGAGCTCTCTCTGCTGTTCTTTCCCTTTTCCTCTTTTCATTGCCGAAGGGCATGTACACTCACCAGAGACAGGGAAAAGGCACGCCCAAGTCCCTTCTCCGCCAGTTCTCGTCTGTTAGGATTTGGGCCCGCACGCACACGTGCCCAGCGTATTTTCAAGCTGCAGGGCTAGGACTCAGACCATGGGAGGCCGTGTGGGGGCCAGCTTCCTTAATCACTAGGCTACAGGGTCAGCCCAGTTAGTTGTTTCTGACTTCACCTTGGCAGTATTTTCAATTTACGTTCTTGAAATTTAACCATTTCATTAAATTACATTATTTCATTAAAATACATTTCCATTGCTTTCTTCCTCACAATTATGCCGATTAATTTTAATATGTGTGGTTAATAACACCAGTACCTTACACGATGCCTGGCACAGGAAAAGCACTAAATAACAGAAATACTTAATAAATGAACAATACGCGATGCATTTTAAGAGGGCTCTAGGACATGTGTATCGAGCATACTCAGGTGGGTCAAGCACCCACAGGAAGGTCCGATTTAGGCAACACACTCAAGGAGCCCGGCCCCAAAACAGACTTCCCTTTAGGCATTCACTCTTTCTGCTGGAAGTCTTTCCACACGGCTTCCCTTGCCTCATCGAACGGCGTCAACAGCACCAAAGCCAGCCGGCAGAACCCAGAACGGCCGGCAGGGGTGTGCTGGTCGAGGTGCTGGACTCCCACAAGGCTGGCCAACCACCGTCCCAGCCCCGGCCCGGCGGCCCAAAGATCACAATAAATACACAGACATTTAAATAAATAAATAAAAGTGGAATTAAAATACAAGCTTATTTAAACAAAAGGACTTTAAAGAAAGGACTCTTTAATAAAAACAGGTCTACTGTCTCTTCCGAGTTTAAGACAGAAAATACAAAGAACAAAGTTGTTAGGGAAAAGAACCGAAGCGGCACCGAGGCGGAGGAAGCTATGCAGCTGCGGTAAGAGACTCGGCGAGCTGGCCGCGCAGCAGAATGGGCACAGCTCACGCGAGGAGCCGCCCCAGGTGCCGCCCGAGGGGGCTTCCGAAAGCTGTGGACACCCGGAATGAAGGTCCGAGCTCATTCGGTGCAACAGAATTTTCTAAACCACCCCGCAGTTTCCTCATACGACACTCTTCTATGAGCTTTCTGAAGACTGCCACGTGTAAGGATGAGAAAAGGTGTAACGTGGAGACCAGATCCAAACTTTCTGCCATGTTACAGCCCCAAGGAGGGAAGGGAAATTAGAGAAACGGAAGGGATGAAACAGTCACATAATGGACACAGAACCTGAGAGAATGAAAGGGACAGAGCGTCTCCAAGGGAGGAAAGTGGATGCGAAGACACGGAAACGTCACCAGCATGTGGCTTCCCTTACTCGGGGTGCGGAACAGCAATGTCCTCCTGACAACAGCGCATGGACAAAATGCAGACTTACACACACGCAAACAAGGAGGGGCAGGGGGTAGAAAGAGTGAAAGGGACTGAGTATCTAGGGAAATAAATGCAAAAAAACTCCACCCAGACACAGCCTCAGGCAAAAAGACAACACTCACCTAGGCAGGGGACACTCTGCTTCCTGCCCCTAGAAAACACATGCTAAGATGCTCACTTAAACCAGGGCAGTCAATTCCATGACAGTACTGTCTGCCCACTAACCTGGGCAAATGCCTGGAAGATTAAGAGGAAGCTCTGGGGTGGGCGTGGGGGCCAGGTGCACCACACCTGCCGGGGGGTGGGGGGGCACAAGCACACCCCCAACCACCGCTCCTCTGCTGCGTGCTCCCTGTCCTGTTCCTGGCCATACCATGTCTGTGACAGTGATTCAACATAAAGATCGGGG